AAATTCACTGTTTCGTCCTAATTAAAGAGTAGCTTGTCACCATTTTCACACCTTTTTTTTAAATTCTCCCTTCTTTCTTCAAAAAGAACTCTATGGCCAAAAATGATTCTTTTCATAGGGAAAACATCAACTTCATTTGATCAACTTCAACTGAATTTCAGCAGGTAAGGTTTCGTTTACTCTTCTAAAGTTTCAGCTTTTTGGTTGGAGAACAAAACAAACAGCATCAGTATCAAAGCACGCAGCAAGAACACAGCGTAAACGAGCTGTTTGCACTGAGCAAAACTTCTGAATTTTGAGTGGACCTGAACTTTATGGGGAAAAGTGAATTCCTGCAAAGCAGAGATCCTCTCCTGGTGTGATGCATGAAGCTCAATCACACAACGGGACCCACAGGAGCCGCACTGGGACCAGCAGTGCCGGGCTATGGGGCTGTGCTGGTCGTGGTTGCTTTGGGGCAGCAGCGCCCTTGCCCTGCCCACATTTGGGGAGAGAGGGGATTCATCCGTGGCCTCCCTGGCGCAGCCGCGGTGCCAGCGCCGGGATCTTGGCTTGGCTCCTTTGTGCATGCAAAATAAGACATTTCTCTGTAAGAAAATAGAGGGAAACAGCGTATGAAAGGGGGACGTTTTTATCTTGCCAAACAGGAATAGTCGGTTCCAATCGCTGTCTCGTCTCCTTCTCCGAATCATCAACCAATGACTCCTCTTTTCTTCTGCGCTGCTTTGCCGGGAACAAAAAATAATTTGATGTCAGTTGTGCAATATTAAACAGTATTATTTCCAAGGGCAAGCGTAGTGGAAAAATGACAAAAGAATTGGGGTGCTTGCAGTGTATTTCTGCTTCAGACTTGACGTACAGCAAATTCTGCCCTTATTTCTTGTGCTTTGTGCCACTGTCTCTGCCTCTGCCTGGCGTCTGCTGCTCCCTCGCCGTCCCCATCCCATACTCGCTGTGGGGCAGAGCCGATGGAGTCGCTGGCCTTGGGGCATTGGCTTCTAATGGGGTTGCAGGTGCCCAAATGAGAAAATGCCTTAATGAGCATCCTGTGATGATGCTGGGTATCGCAGCAGCTTGCTTTAGAGACACTGGGTAGCATCCGCGCAGCGGTGAGAGATGAGATGAATCTTACTGGCTGTTGTCTATGCCCAAAAGATGGCACATCTGAATATTTTAACAAATTAATGTCTTAATTTGTCCCCAGAAGTACCAGAAAACTCCCCTCCCGTTTCTGCTGCTGGAATAAAGCATCCACATGGGGATGCCTGATGAAATCCCTGCCAGACACGGCTCGGTGCTGCCGTGATGCGCCAGTGCTCCCCACGCGCGGTGGCTCTGCCGTTCCCACGGGAGGACCGGGGGGATGCGGGGGAGCAGTGAGAAGAGTCAGGACAAGGGCAGGGGGATGCGGTGTGCTTTGGGGGATCACGGGCTGCAGTGGGGGGGGCAAACACAGGAGTGTGGAGGGGAAGGTATTTTGGGGAGCATCTTGCAGCCGTCAACCCTTTTGCTCTGCTTTGCTGGCACAGACGTGCGCGTCTTTCAAGCACAACTTTGACATGGAAGGATTGATGTGTTTTTGTGCTTTTAAATGACACCTGTGGGTGGGGGAAGCAGAAGGCAGCTACCCCAAAGTCTGCAGCTACCCCAAATCTGCAGCTACCCCTCGCCTGCAATACCCCTTGTCTGCAGCTCCGCAGAGCCCCCTGGAGGATGCAGGAGGCTGCCAGAGGCTGTCAAGGTGGGGTTCGGGCACATGGTTTGTGCATTGATGTGTTTTTGTGCTTTTAAATGACACCTGTGGGTGGGGGAAGCAGAAGGCAGCTACCCCAAAGTCTGCAGCTACCCCAAATCTGCAGCTACCCCTCGCCTGCAATACCCCTTGTCTGCAGCTCCGCAGAGCCCCCTGGAGGATGCAGGAGGCTGCCAGAGGCTGTCAAGGTGGGGTTCGGGCACATGGTTTGTGCCCCCGTGGCTCCATTGTGTCCTGTGCTGCTCATCGTGGCTGTTCCAGTGCCCCTCAGCCTCCAAGGGGTCGCAGGGAAATGACTGAGCTGACATCAGAGGCTCCTGCCCTGCACGGGGACGATCATGGGAGGGACCGGAGATGGGCAGAGGGCAGCAGTGATTTGGGAAGGGGCCGGTGCCACAGAGCTGGTTAAACAGGAGGAGAAGAGAAACAGGAGGAGAAGAGAAATACAACGCGCTGTGTTTGCTGCAATGCGATTGAGAGTCCGTGCCCCAGAGATGAGTGTTTCCTTCCTGTGTTTCTGGTCTCTCCTCTGCTGGGTGCTCCCTGGATCACCGGGGTTCAGCGCCTCCTGCCAGCTCTGCCTGGGAGAGGTGGCATCAATCCCTTTGGCGAGCTGCTCCATTAATTTAGAAAGCAAAGCTCTCTTAGTTAGCTCCGCATCCTCCTCTCTACAGGAGTGTTCACAGCCATTAGGAGGATGTTACCATTTATTTTCAAGTTTCTCCTTGAAACTCCTGCAGGAAAATTACCAAATATGCAAAGTTGCTCTCGGATTCTGCCCTGAGCTGCATATTCATCACCACGTCTGCTCCTCGAGCTGCTGTAACACTTCTCTCCGTTGTAATCTTTATTGCTTCAGGTGTTCAGATGGTTCTTTGCTTTCTCATTTGAAATGAAGGAATGCGCTGGGTCTGTAGGCAGAGCCTGGGAAGGTGTCGCATTCTCTCTCCCTGTGGGATGCAGGAGCGATGCTGAGGGCAGAGCGATGCTGAGATGCTTGCAGGAGGGCAGAGCTAGGGTGTATTAAACTCCAAATCTTAATTTGAAGAATTAAACAGAACAAATCACAGGCTGTGCCCTTTGGGTCGTCTCTGGAGCCCTGCACTCTTGGGATTTCTCGCCCTGTCTGCGGGGTGAAGCAGGTGAGCGATATCGACAGCCCCATCGATACCGCTCGTCTGCGGGGGCTGGCGTGGTGCTGGGGTTGATCTGCGTCCAGTGGGGCTGTCCTTCCCGGGAAACTGCGGAACATGATGGCTTGTCTGAAGGAATAATAAACGTTGTTTACTATTGGCACATTAGTGCCTTAAGGATCAAGATGTGTGTGCTCGGAAAGGCAATCCTGCGTCTGAAATATTAATGCAGTGGAAGAGCACGTCCTCTATTTAA